TATATATATATATATTATCATGCCATGTTATCATTTTCACAATTTTTATGCAAGGGTCAAATGGGAGAAGAAGCAATAACTATATATTCATTTACATATTTGTTTTATGGCTTGTTTCAACATTTTTTTTAAAGAATCGCATTCACTACGATGTAATGCAACAGGAATCTGGTATACAACTATCTAGAAGATAGATATATATATATATATAATATGATTGGGAATATGTGGTTAAAAATGAAGGAAAAATTATTGATGAGATGGAAAAACGACTTTTCCATCAAAACAAAACCCAAAAAATCACAAAAATCATACAAACGACAAACCCTTACGTCCCATATTTTACACTGAAAATCAGGTGAAATAAACTGAGCATCTCTTATCTTTATAACTTAGCAAGATGAAGCCGTCGGAACCTACTCCAACTGCACAAGTTGCATGGATTTTATGGCGCTTACTTATCCATGCGAATATTTTGAATCTAATGCTTGAAGATAATTCAAGACTAAATATCACTGTCCCTCGTGTTCGATCTGCCATTATCTGCTGCCACCGCTCACCTGTCAACTTCAAGGCCGCGCCGCCTATATTACCATAAAGGATTGTTGTGTTTTTTGGCTCTTGATAGAATGGAAATAATAATATCACGTCGCCTATATTTTTTTCCTGTTTGTCAAATTCCACGTCGCTTCAATGTTAAAACAATAATCATGAACTTTTGCTACCTTCTTAAACAAGGTAAGAATACGGAACCAAACTTAATATGGTATATTGCTCAAAAAAGCAATTGGGATACGTTTAAAGTAAAATGAGGAGTCGAATTTCAAAGTTAGTGTTCACAAATTGGCGCATGTTAAGGGTAGAATCTCAAGCCCCTTCAATATAGGGACAATAATCAACATTTTAAGTACTTGGAGTATTCTTGTTAAGGTACAATAATCAACATTTTAAATACCTGGTAATTCACCGTTATCTGCATGGCATCGTAGTAAAACCCGACCTTGTGGTTAGGATTTCGATCTGTTACATTGAAGATTATACTGGCATTTGCATATCCAGTTTCTGGGCTGAAGCTTGGGATCGAAAATTCATGTATGTGAAATCTGGGCCGGTGAGGACGCAAACTGAGCCACAAAATGAACGCGATAAGGCCAAGAACAAAGAAGGTGAACAAAAAGATGGTGCAAATAAGCTTGGTGATTCTGGTGGTTAGACTTTCTTTCACACGGTGGGCATAGTAACGAGTTGTGTGGTGCCGCTTCATGGGGCGGTTTCCGGTGGTGCTTTGGATCGGCATCCGATCTCCAGGCCTCATTTTTCCGGCTAGTAATGGATTATGAGACAGGAGGACTTAAGGGTTGTATTAAACATGCCCTATTATACAGTATCTACTAGTCTACAAATATGATGCTGGGTCTATGTATTATTTTAGTATTGAAATGCGTTGCCCTGGCCAAAAAAGGGCACATGTCGGAGGAACATTTGAGCTTTTTGCTTGTGGAAGAAAAGAATAATGGATCTTCAAGAATAACGAGCGAATTTACGTGGGAATCAAGATTGATGAAATGTCTACTACATGATATTGAAGAAAAGAAAAATAATGAAAAGTAAGCAAATACATGATTCTAGTATAACTTGTTTATGATAGTCGTAGAATTTATTCGTGTGATTTCATATATGTCCGACTAAAGATTCTAAACTTCCACTTATTAACAATTTATGCCCGTAAATGGAATGGGTTTATTAGAATTTTTGTTCCCATAGTAATTTCCTTTTCAACCTTTATTACTTTTCGGTGCTCTTAATAGTGCCCTCAATTCCGTTGGAGGGAAAAGATACGTTTTTCGGGGAGAAGAGGAGCTAGGATTTTGATACTGTGCGGAGGAGGGGTCCACTTTGAAAATTCACATTTCATTTCAAATTTATAGTCATGTTTTTGACTTGGGAAATGGCATGTAGCATTTCCTATAATGGTGTCCATGGACACCATTATGTTATGGACTATGTACCCATAGCATAACCATTTTGACTTCAGGTTGGGTCGTTTAGCTGGATTGGTAGGCTTGGACCCACAAATCAGCAAGACACATAATTTTCAATTTGACTATATTAGTCCCAATCGGCAAGAATGCCTCGACCCACACAATATAATAATTAGGATTGGGCCGAGCATTCAGATTATGGTTTTGCATAGCCCCATCATCTTTCAATTGAGGTTTCTTTGGAGATTTCTCTTCCCCTAGGGGT